AAACATTTTTGTTCTTGTAAAGCCCAAGCATATATTATTAATACGTTGAAAAGCCCACTAGTATAAAAATATATACTGATTAATCGCTGTAAAGCCCAGCGGTGTTGCCAATTCTACCCGTAACAAATCTATTTTTAGATTCAAGGTCAAGCTTTAAATATTCGTTAATACTCTGCATTTGTGGTTTCTTAAATTTACGGGCTTGTCATAGTAGTGTTCGTGTATAGTTTTTGCTGGAATACTGAAATACTATAATAATTATAATTATCCCTAAAATTTTACAATTTAAAAAAATGTACTTTAGAATTATTAAAAAGTTCTTCAAGAAAACATAAAATCTCAGAATCTTAAGTTTATTATTGATAATTTATCCCAATAAACATGTAATAAATATCCCAATAAAATATAATAAACTAAGAATTATAGCTCTTATTATATTATTTAGAATAATTATATTATTAAGTATTATTACTGCAATATAAAAATAATAAATATAAAAAATCTTCTTATTTATTTCTATACAAATTAATTTATATGAGTATAATTGGCTTCACCAGTATTTTTTAACTAGATATTTTTCCTTTTTTAAATCCAGGGTAAAATTATTAACTGTTTACTTATTATTTTTGTCAAAATTTACTTATATTAATATTGCTAATTAGCAAAACATAAATGTAAATATTTTTATTGAAGTTTTTATTATTTTAAATATCTTGAAATCCTATAGAACACTAAGAAAAAATTAATATTGACAGATTTAACGTTTGCAAAATAAATTTTAAGTATAAAATAAACAACGACATAAATTTTTTAAGGCATTTCTTGCAATATATTTTTTTTTCTACCATTCGCTTTTAATCTATTCTTAATAAAACCCAAAACTTATGCATTTAACACTTTATTTGTAAAACCAGAACATTTTGTAAAAGTATACGAACTGTAAAATAACCATTACTAAACATTTTACCATTAATATTTCGTAGGTATTGATTGTTAAAACTTTTAACTTTTTAACTTAAAAGTAATGAATCGTAAATATTAATTATTGATATTTTATTTTATCTACTCCTCTATTGACGACCTGTGGCATTTTAGTCTCGAGCTGAAGTTAGCAACAGTGCCTTTTAAGTTAGCTATATTATAAATTTAGAAAATGTGAGGTTAAATCCGGGTGGCAGTTGACAGATGTCAAATTTTTAACAAATAAAATTCGCCTTAAATTTTGTTTTGTGTTCGTCGTAGATAGAGTATAGTATGTAACTCGTTTATAAACTTCTTTGGACACTAGTTTTTATTAAACACTCGCTCGCAAGCTTCGCTCTTGCTTAATTAAACTCGTAACTAAAATATCGTTTATAAAACTTGATACATAATATACTATTATAGTAATTACTATAAAATAAAATATTAATAATTAATATTTAACGTGTCATTATTAAGTTAATAATTTATTACTTTTTTAATTTAGAATACATTTCAATAATAGTTTTAAGTTATATTAAAATTTTTCACAATATATTAATAATTTAATATAATAATAATATAATAATTAATATACTAAAAGTGTGTCCCAATATTATTTTTCTATGTAGTCTGTAGCCGACTTCGGATTTAGAAATTTGGCGTGTCTATAATATAGAAATAAGACATGAGACAATCTGACTCTATAGCTAAGAGAGAGTGCGTTTAATCGTTCATCAACAAATTTTTATCTTAAGCAGTTTTTCACTTCATCATCATCTTATTCTTAAACATTCTATATCTTGAAATTTTTTAATTGAAGACCCTTGTCATGAAGTGTTTATTCAAACAATGCATGCAAAAATTCTTGGTTATTTTTTATCGAGAACTTTGTATGCTATACTAATTTAGAAAAAATTCTGCCCAAATTCATCCAAAGTATTTATATTGACGTTTTCCCTTCATCTCTAGATTCATCCCATATGAGCTTTTAATATTATTTGTTTTCGAAAATTGCAAGTTGGATCGAGTGTTCCAATATTGACACTACTGTCTAGTTCCTCGCAGCTCGACACTACTGTCTAGTTACCCCTAATTTTTTCCGTTCTAGGCAGCTGCCTACGTTGTCTGTTCGGTAAATTCGGCCCTGTCGGCATCTTTTGCATTTTGTTGGTTATCGTTTAATTCGGTTAAATTAATTTTTATTATTTAATTGTGCAAATTTAATGGTAAATTCAAAATAGTAAACTACTATAATTATAGTATAGTTATAGTTATTAAACTTAAGTTTAGATCTTCCTTCATTTTGTAATTACTATTTTTCAGTAAAGGCATAGTTCAAACAACACTTATGCTAAATATATGAAAATTATTACTAAACACAAAAGCGCTCACTCCTAAAATATTAAAGCTGTCCCCAAATTACTAAATTTTTTAGTAACCATTCCCAAAACTGTTCTCTCCGTACATATGCATAAAATGATATGTAGAATCTATATTATAGATATAATCAAGTTTACCCCTTAAGGGGTTAGGTGTTTTCTATAAATTTGAAAAATATATTTATTGGCCGGCAGTATTTTTTTTTAAACTACAATCGAATATTTTTAAAAATGTTCTTGTTTAGAATAATAACCAATAGGGGTTTTGTGAGCGTATAGACTTTCAGAATGTGTCACATTACTGAAAAAAACAATGTTTAGTCTCTTTTCTTTATAACTGCTCCTTTACTCAACGCCTGTATATAAAAAATGTGTGTATGATAAAAGTAAATATTATGGTGAAATATTAATATATTTTTAATTCCAAAAATCGCTTAGACTATGTAGGGCAATTTTTTACCTGCCATCTGCCAAAAGTAAACCAAGGGCTCTGAGCTTTATTTGACAATTTTTGGCCTATCAGAATAATTGTTTAGAAAATTGGACTAGTACAAATTGCAGCGAATATGACACTAGTGCTACCAGGTAAATATTTTTTAATTTATCAATTTTTTAATCATTTGTTCGATAAAATTGTCCTCCAATTACAACTCGCAATTAAAAATATATGTCGAATATTTTAAGGTGTGTGATAGCAAATATTATTTGTAGTTGCAAATAGTACTCGTGGTAATTAATTAGGGGGCATCCATTAATTACTTGAGGCCATTTTAATTTTTTAGTACTAATTACTAAACAGTTCTCTATACATGGTTATTAATTGCTATAAAAGTCAGCCACTTCTTTTGTAAAACCAGAACTACTTTTGTAATACTATACTTACTTTATAACAATCATTACTAACAGTTTGGGAATAATAGTATTAGTAATATATTATGTATATTTTTTATTTTATCCTCTTTTCCACCACTTTGCCCCTAGGGGATTCATGCAAATATATAAATCAGTTATAAATGGAACACTAAAAATTGTAATTCACGAATAAATAATTGTAATTACTTATTTTAGCTCCTCTGCCAACATCGCAAATTTATTAAAAATAAAATAAATTTATAATTGAATTCTGGAACAAAATAATTATACATATTTACAGGAAACCCAAAAAAATTTAAAAAAGGTGTAGTTCCGCGGTTTTAAAAATTGTAAGTCGCTTTGGTCTGCAACAGCAATTTATAGATCAGTAAACTGCTACAATAAAATATTCTCTTTCATATAGTGCTTTTATGGTTAATTTCTAAAGCCGCCGTATATTTAAAAAAATATATTGTACGCGCGTTGTCGGGCCCAGCAGTGTTGCCAAGTTTAGGGGCTGATAACGATACGTTAATATAAATGTATAAATATATACTCAGAAGCGCCCCCTACAGTGAAATTCTCCAAACTTTTTGTATAAATGAATGCATAAATGGTACTTTTTGAGGCCCATCAAAAATTTTAACAGGAGGGTGCAGAAAGAAAGGCGAATCGAATGGCTACTATATACTCGGGCTCCGTTGTAAAGCCCAAAGCCGGGTTTTATAACGTCGCTTTGGGCTTTAAAACGTACTAAAGTTATCTTGTACGGGCCTGTATAAGAGCGTTTATAAGTCTATATATATATATATATATATATATATATATATATATATATATATATATATACATCACACTATCATCGAGGCGTCTTTTCATTTCGACTACTTATGAGCGTCCTAGCGTATATTTTTCATCGTACTATTTTCTTAGCGTCCGTACATTATAGCTCTTCTTAGCGTCCATGATATTCAAATAATTTTATTTTCCAACTTCTCGGCGTCCTGGCGGTGTTGCCAAGTAAAATAAATTTAATAAACGCAGCAAGTGTTATGCAGCGGCAATGTATGGTATTATAATTATGTGATTATTACTAACCTTACCAACAAATTATTATTGCAACTACCATACTTAAAAATAAACAATTAAATAACCGAATTAATTAATTTATTATAATTACAATCAGAAAGTTAAAGGGCACACTAATTGTTTATTTTTAAATTTAGGGTAGTTTTAAAATATGTAAAAATAAACGGTGTATCATTTAATTATGTTATTTTGTGAATATTTCGGAAACATTAAATTGTTTGTCTGTTTTCACCACTTTAATCATAAAAGTAAATGCCACCAATTTGACTTTGTAGCTCCAATAATAACGAAATTAACAATGGTTAGCAGATAACTTTGAACACCCTGTATATTATACTCATAATTATTATGTTATTGTATTTTAGGTAAAAATAGTTTTTAATAAGTATAAATAATTCAAATTTAGAAAAAAAATCCTGATACTCTAAACCGAATATATTTGTAACTGGCAATATTTATTTATTATTTATTTAATTATAATTGTATTTTGTTTATAAATAAAATAATAGTTTACATTTTTATTTTTATTAAAAATAAATATAGGTACATCTTAAAACTAAAATAATAAAATATGTCACATTTAAGTTTAAAACTAAACAGGTACATATTTGAATACAATCAAGACATTGCATAAACTATTATAGAAGCCTAACCTAAGTATTATTATACAAGGTGTCCCTAAAATTATGCCACTAAGCTTAGGAACACCTTGTATATTTATTTAATTTTTTTTGAGTACTTATTTTGGACGTAAACTTTAATTTTTAACCAACTTTTATTTTTAAATATTTCCGGATGTTTTTTTATTAAATCGTTACATTCCTTCTTTTTTGGTGGTTTTTTGGATTGTATATGTTGAGCAAAGAATTCTTCGACAATTGTTTTTTGTTCTGTTGTCCAAGGTACCAATACTCTTTTATTTTTAGGTTTAGGTTTTGTCTGAACTACAACTTCATCTGACTCTGACTCTGACTCTTCAACCTCTGAAATATTGTCTTGTTCTTTAGTTGGGGCAGATTCCAACAAATTTTCTTCCAAATTAATATCTATGTCGTTAAGTTTTTGACCTTTATATTTTGCTGCACCTCCATTTTCCATTAGAATTAATAGTTTACTAACTTTGGCAGTTTGATAAACATCGTCTGGTAGACGATAATTTCCCCTATGAACACCAAGTGTGTGTCCCATAAAACCCGCCAATTGTTCCATGTCATTTTCATTCATGTTAAATAGTTGAGTTAATGTAGCTAAGTGTTTTCTTAATCGGGTAGATGTTATTGCACTCGGATTTTTAGCTCCACTAGATTTAGCATATTTGTGCAAAACTTTATAGCCAGTAATAGGTTCTGTTGTAGTTGGATTTCCAAAGAGAAATTTATTAGATTGTTTGTAAAAATAATCTCGGTGTTGTAACAAAATTTGTATGTGTTCCTGCACATCTACGCTAAAAAGAACTGGGACCCCTCGACCTCTTTTTCCGCGTATGACTACCCTCTTAAATCTTTTTAAGAGTATTTTTTCTGACTCGGAGACAACTTCTGCAAATTCTTCATAATTACTCTCATTACCTTTGGAATTCTCGTAGGTATGTAAAGTAAGCCTTTGCAATTCCCCAGGTCGTCTGCGATTTAGTAACAAAGCCCTACAGTAAATCGTCTCAAGTAATATTATATACTCCTCAATACTTTTAGTTTTTAGTTTTAATGCCTCTGAAGCAGCATTAGCCTTGTTTATTAAATGTTCCTTCATTATTTTTAAGTCACTGGCCAATGGTACTATTGTAATCTTATTCCACTTATTTACATTTAGGTCGTTAATAGCTTGTGTCGATATTTCATATGCCCATTGCGTTTCTACCACCCTAATAAATTTTGTTAAATTTGCTTCTGCTTCAGCTGAAGACACATTAACCATAACATTTTTTGTTCTTAATGCGTGATAAATAGCTAATTCGGCAACTTGTTTTAAAGAGGTTCCCATATTAATGGCAAACGTGGGCTTGTTAAAAACGTCTTTGGTTGAATCAAATCCAGATTCAATTTTTACAACATCAACTATTAAATCAAAGTAGCATGAATTTAATGCGTCAAACAAACTTTTAATATTTTGGTTTCGTTTTCTTAATTGTATTAGTACTCGTGCCAACTCCCTCATTTTTCTTGATGCAACATTAATATCGTGTTTTTGGCGATGTGTTTTAATATACCTTGCACCATAAGCACATATGAGTGGATCTTTTTTTGCCACCAAAGAAATTTCGTCCGGTTGCATTCTCGGAAAAACTGTATTTCTTAGTTGATGATCTATTTTTAATCCGGAAATCAATAAATTTTGTGCACTCACCAATGCCTTTTCCTCAATTTTTCCAGAACATTTGGCTCTATGGCGCCAAAGGATTTTAGATGAATAAAATCCAAAACAATTTGGACATGGCACAGTTTTGTTGCCCACTACTCTTAATGATTGCACGGGTTTGCATACTTTGCTGCAATTTATATAATTTCCTTTTTTTCTTAAATCATTCAAAAGTTTCAATCTTTGTTTGTCTTTTGGAGGATATGTCAATATTTTTGAAACTTCGATTTCCAAGGAATGGTTACGCTGAATGTGCCTAGAAAAGTTTAAAACCATTGTTTCGCAATAATAGCAGAAATCAGCCATTTTCTTTCCTTTTCGAATTTCACCACTTGGTTTAATTTTTCCCAAATCATTTTCCTTAATGCATGATTGAGACCTTAATGGTTGATCTAAATTAGACATATTTCTTATAACAGGAGGAAAAGATGGCATATAATTATTAGATTGAGTATTTTCTTCTGGATTAATATTTTCCTAAAAATCATTAATGAAAATAAATAATTTTATTATAAATTATAACGAAAAATTTGGTTAAATTATAAATTTAACTTACAATATCATTTTCAGCTATAAATTCTGGTTCATATTCAATATCCTCATTTATTTCCATTTCAGATTCCTAAAATATAAAATATGATGTTTATTTCTAAATAATATAATAAATAACATATGTAGGTACTACATATTATGTAGGTATACAAAAACTTTCTTTTTTTAAATTTATAAACTGGAATACTTAATAAAGCAATACCTTTAACAATTGATTAAGAAAAAATAAATTTTAAAGGTATATATATATAATATTTACCGAATAAGTGTTTGGCTCAAAATCAGGGTCCCGGATATCATCGTCCTAAAAATTGTAAGTAAAAAATTGTTGTAAAAATAAAACTGTAGTGGGTTCTTTGCCAAAAGTTTAGTTTAGTTTAGATAAAAACTTACAGGTTCACTTTCTTCCCAATCCGTTAAAAGAGGAGATGACACCTACAAAAATTTTTTAGTTAATACAATATTTAACAAAATTTTTGTAAATAATATTTTTTAACATATCGTGGCCTTACTGCGAAAATTAACAAAGTCTACAATTTTTCAGAAATTAAGATTGAAGTTTTGGTACTGTAAAATACTTTTTTAGTGACTTGGTCATATTTTTTCCTTAATTTTCTATATGCAACGAGTAAAAGAAAGTAATGGCTTTGTTCATTTATTTTTTTTAGTTGGTTATAAAAAATTACGGATTTTTACCCACAGCATGTTCCAGAACGTAAATTAATGTTAGCTAAGAATTTTTCAAAAAATTCTATTTCTTAAATCCAATTTTTAGGTGCGATTGAAAGTAATAAAATGATCTCAACATATCATCATATTAACTAGTTAATACAACATTTAATATTAATATTATTATAAAAATAGTTAATATTATAAAACATTACGACATTCAAGCAGTTTTAAAAATTTGCTTGATAATACTTACAATATCATTTTGAATTATAAATTCTGGTTTATATTCAGTTTCCTTATTTTTTACCATTTCAGATTCCTAAAAATATCCTTAATTTAATATATAATATGATGTTTATTAAATAAAATTTTTTTAAATTTAATATTTAATATTATAATACTTATAATAAATAATATACACCCCTTGTGTACTCCTTATGATTTTTTAAATTTCTTACTTAATACTTAATAAAGCATTAGGTATATTTATTTTTAACAATTGATTAATAAAAAATATACTTAGTAGTTTTTCATACTTACCGAATTAGTGTTTGGAAAGTTGGGGCTCAGGATAGCATCGTCCTAAAAATAAAGTGAGTTATTTGTTTAGTTTAGTGATAATAGATAGAAACTTACAGGTTCACTTTCTTCTAAATCCGTAAAGAGTAAGGGAGATGACATCTACAAAAATGATATTGTACTCTGTTAATATTTTTTTTTGTAAAAACAAAATATTTTTTAAGTTAGAACCCTTAAATACATCCTATACATCCTGTCGCAAAACGTAAAAATCTGTTAACCATTAATTGATCTCAGCATGGTATAAAAACATTTTATACAGAAACAATAAAGTAGTCAAAAGAATTATAAAAGTAAAAAATGTTTGATTAAATAAATGTGGTTTTATTTTTTAAACTACCAAATTTAAAAAATTTTCTTTGTGAAAATTATCTCCGAGGGCCTTCTGGCCATAACATTATTTTACGTGGGTTTTGAGACATATGTGAGTTATTTTTAAATATTTACCTGTGATACTTTACCAAATGATAATTCTGAACTATTGTTAGAATCATGTGATATTTTATCAAAATTTGCAATGGTATTAGTACTGTTTTGGGATACCTAAAAAATAAATTGAACAAATTAACTACTGGGAATACAATATGATGCCCCTAGAAGCCAAAGGGTACAAAAGTACATTTTGTTTAGTTTTGAGATAGTCATATTTAAAGTTAAAACCCCTTTAGTAATTTGGGGTCAAAATTGTTTCATAAGTTTGTTTTTCAACTTTACAAAATTAGAATTTAGTTATATTATAGTAGGTATATGTATTTATTTTTAATAAACGAATTTTTTTTAAACAAATACGTCATTAAAAAAGTAGGTGTACTTACTGTTGGCAGTGGTTTATTGCAAATCCAGCTCTTATCAATATACTACATAAAAAAACAATATTATTTGCAAAATATAGGAAAATTGTTATTATGTACTTACAAATGAATTTGGAAATGGTCGGTTACCGGTATCTGTAAGTAATAATCCATATTATATTTAAAAACGCAATTTAATTTAACTCGAAATGAGAAAAAGAAAACAGGATGCACTTAAGGAATTAATAAAAATAATTTTATAACTGAAAATAAAAATGAAACATTGGTCTTCTTTTAAAAAGATTGAATATCCTGGTCGGGCGGAGCTGACTAAATTGATACAACAAAAATATTTTCGCAAACAATTTCTTGTAAACTGCGCGATGATACGCAGAAACTTAGTTAAAAAAAATATTATATTGTGCGACTACTGGGGAAAAAGAAAGAGATTCCCGAAACGTGGAGTTTGCAGTAACACGCGAGTGGAATGTACTTTTTTGACCAATAGCCGTACACAATATTTTATTCATCTACCGCAAGGAATTTAAATCCAATTTTATTTGATATTTTAACTGGCATGTTACAACTGTCAAGCAGTTTTAACCTCACTTTTATCCAATTTTAACTTAAAGCCAATTTCAGCCCATTGGAAAAATGCTATTTTGCCTACCGGTTGAAGTTATAAAATAAAATGGGTTTTGAATAAAAAATATAACTAAAATTTAAGTAGATACCTACTCTCCGCGCCGCGCCCTTTATGGTTATTTATGACCACGCACCCGAAGGAAGGTTTACAAATTTAAATTTTAAGTTATATGCCAATGTTAATTTTAATAAAGGGTAATGCCTAATTGTCTGATAATGCAGGGATTCCCCGAGGTTGCAAACCATTACACTAAGTTTTTAAGGTTATAAACTTATTAAAAACCGTTACAAACATCTTCTAATATTTAATTAAACGGCAAATTAAATATAATAAATAAAATATGAAAACTTACCTTTTTGAGAGCACATTTCTAAAATAAACTTTGTTCTTCTGGACATAGGGGCAATAGAAAACACACCACCTACGTGACACTCACGTATCGAACCGTTAAAAGTAAATGATTTTATGTTTGAATATTTAAAACTCCGATACTGGACGCTCAGAAATCGGAAAAGTTAAAATGAATATACGGAAAGGACGCCCACAAATCGTTGGCGTAAAATTTTATTAAATTAAATATTCATCAAAAACACGAATGTGAAAATTATACTTAAAATACAACAGAATCTTATTATAATTGCCATGTTGCAAAATTTCCTTGGCTAGAGGACGCTCTGCAATCGGTGGAATGTAAGAAATTTTATACTAAGGACGCTTACCAATCTTTAAGATGTAATTTAATGAAATTAAATATACACAACGTATATTTTACATTGGCGACAGTCACTCCCCTCGTGGAAGAGTCGTGAACTAAAAATATACGAAAGTATATCAAAATTTTAATTTTCGAGTTCTGGGCGTCTTCTGCCAAAGGTCGTATAAAAGTGAATTAGAACACCTGGCAAAATCTTAATGGGTGTCAACCGGGCGTCCGGTATACGGACGCTTGGTCCCAGTGGACGCCCAGAGAATAGATATTAGGAAATGTACGGACGCTCTGTCATAAGCTGGATGTATATATATATATATATATATTATATATATATATATATATATATACAGGGTATCTATTAGGCTTTCGCTGTCATTTTCTTTAGAAGTAAAAAGGTTTCGGGGTTTTAAGCCGCGTTTCATAGTAATACAGTATACCTGAATTACAGCTATGATCAAATGATTGTCTTACTTTTATTTGTGCAAACCTGCTTAAAATTAGTTCAAACATAAGAAGTCATTGAATTAAATTGTGATTCTATTAAATCCATATTAAAACTTAGTTAGTTAAAACATAAGAAATCTTGTATTTAATTGAAGCCACAATGGTATAAATAAAGTTATGGTTTCTAATGAATGGCTACATTAAATGTAATCAAAGCTCTATTTTCCTTAAATATGTATATTCTTGTGCAAATATTAGTTGTATAATACATTAATATGACCTTAAATAAAATTAATTCTGGAAACTGCTTGTGGTAGTCTTGTGTACACAGGTTTTTTGATCCATAAAATAAAACTGTTCTGTTTTCTGTACGAACTATTAGAAACCCAGTGGGTTCAACCCACTAGAAGTGTTGGTGATATTAGGCTCTAAGAAAGTTGCTGACCCATTACAAGCAACAGTTACTGTACTGGATGTGCAGGATCTGTCTGCCATGGCACATGGTTATTCTAAAACGAAATAGGAATTTCATATTATTTATTTAAAGGCGAATCCTAAAGATTGCTGAAAGTCCTAAAGCAATATATACTTTTAGGACGCCCTGCAAGGATATAGTGATGGTACTAAAAGACTAAACTTCGTCCATTTAAGCAAAATAGCCATTTTAAGGCATGGCACCTAATATAAAGATAAACTGTGTCCTATATGAGTACACATTTACCTTTTTGTTATCATTTAGATATAATTGAGTAATTAAATTACTGGATAATGCATGGCGGACATACAATTAAAAAACATGTACAACTTACCTTGAAAATTCGGGATTGGGAAGTACAACCCCCAAGAAATTAGCAAATATAACAAACAACCAAACACTACCTACACCAGAGATAACCCATACACTTACATCAATCGGCGTCACCAGAAATACCGGTTGATCACATTGCAGGTTGCCGATGTGTGGTGTGGCAGGGGATGCCCTAGCGCGTTTGTCTGAATTTTAGCATCATTAAATTGAATATAGGCCGCATTGAAAAAATGGGAATGATAATTGGGCAAATAACAAGTATTTTTCAAGACAGTGAAAATATTGGTATTCACTGTAAGACAGTAAAAACTTACTTTACCTTAGTATCCATTGGAATAAAAACCATACACATTAAAATAAACAAAGACTATTCTTATTTCATTTGTTTTTAATTTATGGTTAAGGCATTATAACTTTAAATATAAATCAATTTTATATTTAATTAAATATTGTTAATTTTACCTTGATCAGATAAACTTTGAATTCAATCATTTCTAAAATTTTCAAGGAACTACACATTTCCATTAGGTTTAAATCTAAAGAGTCATTCACTCTACAACAAGTAATTTTAACTTAATAATATTTTGTTATGGGCTGAATATAATATTTGTAATAACATCAATCCCTTACCCTTAATTCCTTCAAACATATTTGATTAAATAAACTTTTATTGGATAAATAAAAATACAATCAATTATAGCATTGTTATTGACTATATCAAAGCGTTTTTTCTGTGTGGGTAGTACTACCTTTAGTAAGCACCACTTCCGCCGGCCCTGAAACTGTAATATTTTTAATAATTATTATAATTATTAATATGTATATTTAATTATTATAAACCTTTGTTGACCTACGTATCTTCAAAATGGTAATATTAATCAAATTTAAGTCAACTAATGGAAGAATCAACATTGATATTGTTATTGATTTGGACATAAATCTATTATAATTTCGACGACGATTGTCTTAGTCCAACCAACTTTAAACTTGACGAAGTTAGTAGTGCAGCCGATCCCATGACTGCATAAATTGAATACCGTCTATAATTCAAGCGAGATCTCAGGTAAGGGTGAGACATCGAAGCGCACAGTCACTTGGAAGTTTGTTTAAGATAATGCTTTAAGTTATTAAAGCCATTTTGTGATATATTTAAAAACTTTTTAATTTTTTGCTTTTTTTGTATTTCCTAGTTAATTTTTTGTGAAATGCGGGTTTTCCAGTCAGAATCCAAACTATTTTAATTTATAAGTTAAGTCTATAATCGTTAATTTTGAGTAAAGTTTTTTAGAAACATTAATAAGAACTAACAGAAGCTTAGCCAAGGGGTAAGCACAGAAAATGGGGTTTTATGTTACCTGCATCTAAACAAAATCCTGGCTACGCCCTTGAGAACTAATCTTGTTTTGCTAAAAATACAAACTTGTTTTAACCAAAGAGTATAAATAGTACAGTGTTTTAAAAAACGCCAAGATAGTAACATCACGATATTGTTGGGCCATCAAAAAAATCTTTATTCAAAAAGTTTTTACGAACAACTTCAATAAAAGACCATCTATCTTTCCGAAGCATCCTTTGCCCAAATTTGTTTAAAAAATCTCCACTCGTTTCACCAAATCGATACTAATAAGATTTTTATTTAATTTTTAACGAACAATTGATAGCAAACATTGCTTTTAACGGGATGGTTGTTTTTGAATGAAAAAAGGGTTTTGAACATTTTGACGTATCTTCACGTTAATACCGAATAAGTTAAGTAGATACAGGTCTATTTATATCTGAACCGGGTGTACTGTATTATCCAGACGCAACAGAGCGTATTAGATCATCCAAGTGTGGTTTAATTTCATGATAGTCCCTGTGAGTGTAGCCGGTCCTATATCGGCGAGATACTAAGACCACTCGACATAATCAATCAAAGAACATCGTAATAAGTTATTATTACTAATAACACGCAAACATGGGAGACCAATTAATCAGGTGTAGGGAAGCTCGCCTGGTCACATGGTCACCAAAAAGGAAAAAATTTGCACAAAACAACACACTAGAGGAAGAGAAAGTTCAAGGAAGGAGCGGCCATGTACCAGAATCCTGATTATCTTAGTAAGCCTTAATTGGATCTAAAGAACCTCTGAAAACCGTTGTGAAATAGATGTGATCATGGAATTAAAACCATTCACACCTGGATGCTCCAAGAAATTCGAAAAACTGGACTAAGTTATAAATATACCTGTAGCTACTTAACATAAGAAGTATTTGCCTAAAGACGACTAGAGATACTTACCAGTCGTTTTCTTAATGATTTTCGACAACATTTTACAACCCTATTGCCTTAAAGAACAAAAACTGTTCAGTAAAAAAAAAAGAAATTAAAAAAAGTAAGAACGAGATATCCGCGGATCATTGTACTTTTATCCCTAATCTATATGTTTTCAGAGACGTTTTGGAAAAGCAAAGCCACTTGCTACCAATTCATTTATAAAAGCAATTAAATATGCCCGAAGACATGGATTCGGAGCTCTTAGTTTTGGTATTACAGTTTTAATTTTAACCGTAACTTTTAAAACTTTGTTATAGTTTAAATAAATCGGACAAATTTAAATCAATAAAAACCAAAAATTAAATCGTAAAATATGTTAATCAAAAATCGTTCAACACTTTTAATGTGCTGAATATCGTTTATTTGGCTGCAAGATGTATCGTACAGGGGCGTAGCAGTTTCAAGGGAAATCTAGGAAAATATATTAATTAAAACAATACAAAACATCGAAAAACTGTCAAAACCCATCTTAAAGCCACAAATCGTGTTTGTTAACGTTTGTCCAATATTATGGTTTGACAAGAACTATTGTTCTTTTGGTGAATTAAGAAATTGTTTTCAGAAAGTGGTCTCTTATTATATTTGAGGTAAGGTTTCAGCACAAGGTAATTTTTGAGGAGATTATAGATATAGATGTATAGATCTATATATAAAATACTGATAATTAAATCTAAAATCTATATAAATGTTTATAAAAGATCTGGACGGATTTTAAATGTATTATTAAATTAATCTCAACGTTGCCTTTAAAAAATATTGAATAAATTCTACATGAATTTTAAAGGAAGAGAGTAAAAGTAAAAAGTAAAAAAATATTGAATAAATTCTACATGAATTTTAAAGTAAGAGAGTACTTAGTACTTTTAGATACCGTAACAGTAGGTACTTAAAAAGAAAATATAGCGGAAAACCTTTTTTTCTTCATTTTTGAGTTTATGTAAATTTGGATTTAGCACGGTTTTCTTTGATAAACGTATAGTCTGTGTGGTCGGATCATGAATAGAAGCAACTGATATTTTTTTAAAAAATTATTGTGTCAAATTAGTTATTAAAAAATATTACAAATATTAGATTTATTTATGGTTTGTACACTGTACGGAACAAAAGAGCAGAGCGCGAAGATTAGTCGAAGATCGATGAGAACCGTCGCTGGCATGCTAATATTACAGAGTATGCAATTCAAATTAGGCCGGGCGCGGGTTAACGAGAAGTTGATTAGCACGTTGAGTGTAAGTGGCGGCGTCGCGATAGCGTCCCTCCCAACTAATAAGGTGTCGCATTGGCAACGCCGAGATCGAATACCACTAATTAGGGACCCGTCGTGTGAGGTAATTGAGATGGCCATTAAGTGTGATTTTAGTAATACCCACATTCAGTCTTAATTCATTTAACGTCCAGACAGGGTCAAGAAAGTTTCCTACAGTATAACGAAAATCATAGGAGGCAACATCAACATCACAATGTAGTGTGACATAGGGGGTCTGAAAACCTCAAAAAAATGTATGAAGTACTTTATGAATGCCTTCTAACTACGTTTAAATTCCCGTGTATTTATGCAATTTTTGGAATTTCTGAATGTGTTTTTTTGTCACTCCCTTAAATTCGAATTCATTTGAATTCTTCAGTAGGACGAAATTACGAATACTTATATTTAACCATCTCTAATTCTCAATCTTCCTTCAGTAGATACATTTTTTTAAGTTTTTTTAATTAAAAGTGAACTTCTAGGCTTTTTACCTTTGGTTATATAAATCTAATTATTTTCTTTCTTAAGTAATCGTGTAAATAATGAGATTTATGTCGTAAGCAATAAATCCAACTAAAGCGATTGTATACCTAAAATTTTTTTTGATTGATAAGTCTTTAGAATTTGTAAAAGATGGCACCACAATTTTTGGCACAAATTTTGATTTTAATTTCCTTTATGTAGAGCAACTTTTGGATTAATAAAAAATTAAAAAAGTTAATTTCATGTTTTTATTTAGCACTGCTTTTCGATTGGGAATAAATAACAATAAATAACAACAAATAGTGGCTTTAAAGTCATTATGGGGACTATACCCCAGCATAATATGCTATTATTCCACCATCAAGAGCTGGTTTGCCGAATTTAGTCATGGTATATCATTAGTCATGCTGGTATCGAAAAATGATGCTAAATGTTTTTGATGGCCAAAAGAGGCACCATCATCAATATGCTATCTGAAAAGTCCGCAAAATCCTATTAAAAATGTGTGGGATTGCTAACACTTTAACTGGATTGGGAGTTACGGTTTGCATGAACATTTACGTATCAAAACGTCCTTATTTGGCAAAGACAAAATCATGTTTATTCCATATAATTCTTCAGCTAACAAAGCCTCTATAACCATTAAAAAAAATTAAGGAATTAGGCTGGGAATTGCTACCTCATCATCTGTATTCTCCTGAACTAAAATATCGTTGTCTGGAAAGAGATGTGCCTTAAATGCTGAAGTAATAGATTATGTAGATTTATTTTCTGACGAAAGGAATGAAGAAGTAAGAGTTTCGTTAAAATAAATTATAGTGCTAAAAGGGTTTACCAATAATAAATTTATGATTTAAAAATCTAATTTAAGTGGCCACAGCGGCTCTTTATACACGGTAATTAGTTCATACCAATTTTTAGTCACTCGGCACAGCATATTCGGCTGTATGCAACCACTTGTGTGAAGAATGTTCGCTTTGGGGACATTAAAAGTTAAAGGATTGTTTTTGTAAACTTTTAATTTTGCGTAGTCCCAATAAAAGTAATCGAATGTTTTCAAATCACACGAAGCCAGCGCCCAATTTACACATGGATCTTTAAATTTTAAATAATTAAATTTAATACAGGGTCCGGCAACAGAATTGAACGTTTTTAAAAATCCTGCTTTGGAAATACTATTGATTTGATATATGTCAAATAGTGACAGACTTGTACCTTATTGCCGAAAGTTCCGAGTCTGCTATGGAAATACTACATATTGATTTGATATACGTCAAATAGTGAC